GGGCAAGTTGTTACTCCCAACAGATCATTGATATGAAGAAGGGATAATGTTGGTGCCAAAATTGATCCTTGTGGAACGCCGGAATTGATGCCAATGATATCAGACGATACACCGTCCACCACCACATGAAATGATCTGCCTGAAAGAAAAATCGATAAGAGATGGCATAGCTGGGGTGGTAAGCCGTATGATGGTAGTTTGTGGAGGAGTCCTTCGTGCCAAACACGGTCAAATGCTCTCGATATGTCCAACGCGACAGCTAGAAAGAGATTCCCCGTGTTTTTCTAATGAAGCTTGCAATAAATGGGTGATGACGTAGGCAAGTAGATCTCCAGTAGATTTTTGGTGGCGAAAGCCGTATTGTCTATCATTGATGATTCCTGAGCTCTCCAGGTATTTGATAAGCTCAATGTTGATGGCTTTCCCCATCACTTTGGGGATAACTGATAACAGGGCAATTGGCCTTACCGAATAACACTTTTTCTTCAGTAGAAGTGAACTTGGCATTTATAATTCGAATTTTGTTGCCATTAGGTGATACAACTCAAAAAACTGCCAGAAAAACTTTTTTCAGAAGCAATTTTTTTTGTCAAATTGCCAGGCAACAATATTAGTTTACCTAACAAGTGCGGGTCGTTCGGCCAACTGCAATCGGGTGCAGAAAAGTCACTTTACGCACGTGTCAGGTACACTATTTTTTCTACTAGCGTGCGGAAAAAACCCAAGTGTTGATATGAAGAGACATTTATCATTTGATATGAAGATAAATTTCGTCAGGTGCTTCATTTATAATCTGAAATATTTCTTTTTTCAAGAAAATTCTCGCCTTTTTTGGCCTGAATCCAATGTTTTGTTTTTTATATATGTCGTGACCTTGGAAAACTTGCTCAAATCGAGCTTTTTTATAGTTTGATTACACTTTTTAACATTGAGTACCTGGACCAAAGAGTAGTTGGCTTGCATGTTCTGGAAATTTCAGCGAAATAAGCCAAAAAATCGTCTTCTTTGAAACTTTCGATTCCCTTATTCCTGCACCAGTTTCCAGACAAATTATTTTCCTTTTCATACCTGTGACGGGATTTTGATGGTAGTAGATCCAAGTTCGAAGTTCTAGCCACTTCCAAAACTGAGTACAGAAAAGTGACTCTTTCAACACTGAAATGAGTGCGGAAAAATGAACTTTACCGCACGCTACTGAAAAATGTTTTCATCGATACATGTCAAGTTTACTCCTACAAAAATAAGCTCTCGTGTGATAAGTGACCAGAATATTATACACTACGTTTCTTGATTTGGTACATTTCGAATAACTTATCCAAGCCTTCAGTTATTATATTGGGGATTTCAAAAACCACACGAAGTCAAATTCATCACAATTTGCTTCAATGTCATGAAGAAAATATATTCAGGAGTTTCAAAACTAAGTACATCAGCTTGTAGGTTCAAAGTTGAACTTTACTGAAGTAAATACAATTCATACTCATGCAACGAGGCAGTAAACAATCAGTATTCTACAACGGAATCATTTCAGATTCAAAGTCAATATGAAAAAATATATTACTCATGACACTATAAACGGAGCAATTTATCCTCATTTGAATATTTGGAATGATTTTAGTTCAATTATTATGTTATATTGACAATACTTGTTAATTAGTATTTCTATCGTTATATATCTATATATATCATATGTTTATGTATCCCTATTATGAATAAATATGTTTCTTGGGGTAATAAAGAACACAACAATAACAAGAACAATATCAAGAGACAAAATATGCAAAATCGTTTTCATTTATTACTCAGTTTATTCGTAGAGATATTCCCAAATGAATGCAACTTTTCCTTTTCTACAAAATGGAATTATCAAATCGAAAATTCGACGTTGCTTCTCCGAGTGGCCATTATCAACTTTGTATTTTCATATACGGACCTGGATTTTTCATCACATTTTTCGATAGTTTCAGATCTCCTCGATATGATGGTGTACTCAGAAGATCCATAAAATGTTTATGTACAGCAAAGAATTTGTTCAAAAAAGTTATGGAGATGTGAAAACTTTGACTTTTTCATTTTGTAGAGGAGGAAAAGTGACAACAGTAAAGTGACAATCATTTCAGAATATCTCTTCAAATAAACTGAGTAATAAATAAAATCGATTTTGTATATTTTCCGGATATCTCCGGAAATAATTGAGGTTATTTCTAGGGATGCACCGGGAACTGTTTTCTGAAGAAGCCCGGTATCGGGTACCCGATTTTAAAGGTAGGCCGGGTAACGGATACCCGGCGGCCGGGTATTATCAACCAAATAAGTGCATTGAAGCTGTCGTGTAGTTTCTATATTCCATCATATCTATCTCTTAATATCTATATTGCACTAAGCCACAATGCCGACGAACGTTATTCTTCGAAACATCAATAAAAACCATGCATAATCTCCGTTGGGATGGTGGCAAACAAACCGAGAACATTTTCCAAATTCAGCTTTGACAGCTAGGACCTTTTTGTCCGCACCAGCATCCACAATATCGAGCGAACGCTTATTTTCTGAAGCAGGAATGTCTTCGACTCGACAAGAAACAGACTATTGCCAGAGAACGGAGAAAAACTAATATTCCTTCATGACAATTTACCACTCCTTAATTTTGAATATTAGTTTTATCACAAGTTTTTGTTTTGGGTTCTAGTGAGAATGTTATTTGTGTTATTAATATATTTCTGTTCTCGAGCCTTTTAGTTTTTGTCTTGACCACCGTTTATTTCGGAAAAAATACCCGGCCGGGTATCCAAAGCGAAGCCGGGTACCGAGTACCCGGCCGGTACCGGGTACCCGGTCGGGTAACGGGTAATACCCGGTACCCGGTGCATCCCTAGTTATGTCAATTTCAAAGCAGCATTTTGTTAAGCATAAAATGGTGCAAGTAGGCCCTGATACAACCTACTCTCTATCTCTCAAGATTTGTAACACCCTGTATACCCTGTTGAACAAACTCATTCATATAGAAAATCAGTTCAGTTGTTTTTCAGAGGACGACAAGCTGATGAAGGTATTTCCGATCGGAATACTTATTACTGTGTGAATTTTGACATTCCTCCTTTTCCTCGTGAAATTCTTCATTTTCCTACTATTCTCATTACCTCACCTAAATATGGATCGTCTCCAATTGTTCTTCTGTTGTCGATTATGTTTCGCGGAAAAAACTGTACGAAAGTCCATATCAAAGCTTCAACATTTCATATTATTATAAATATCAGTTCACAAGTAATAGATATAATTAGATGAAGATTACGTTAGCATTACGGTTACGCAGTTTGGAATTACTTCTTCCTATAATATACAAGCTGATCCACTTTATAGTACCTAGCTGAACTCTGTAAATCGATTGAAGACCTCATATTTATTATTGAAAAAGAATAATTACTCCGAACATTGTTTGTGAGAAGCATTGTTTTCGAGATACAAGGCGTTGAAATCGACAATAAATGTGAAACTACTCTTTTATGTTGCCAAACTTAGTCTGTTATGTTCCACTTGGGGCGCACCAAGAGGAATCTCTATAAAAAAGAATGTCGTACGTACCTAGAGAGAAGAAAAAGAGGAGGTAGGTATTGGTTTTTCTTGAAATTGTAGAGATTCTACGCTCTTGGGAATAGTTCCACTGGCAAAAAATCTCAAAGGTTCACCGTTCTATAGAAAAACGAGTTTTGGTAATGTGTTGTTCGACATATTTCAAAGTTGATGACAAAAGAATGTGCTGACTGGGCTTGTCGAGTTCGTCTGACTGGTATTGCTATTGTAATGGAAGGGTAGCAGAGATTCCTGTGGAACATTTCCCGTGGAATCATATATAGAGAAATTAGAGGTCACCGACTCTTCAACGGTATTTTAATTAGGTCGAAGGAATAGTGAGTGTGGCATCACCCACTAGGCGAATTGCTCTTCTCTGGATGGAATCCAACAGCATCTGCGTATGTTTTGGTGCTGTAGCTGCGTTTTGTAGATCATGAGAAGCTGTTTAGGTGTATAGTAGATTCTTGCACGGAATGAAAATCTGGGTTTTCGTGAAGAATGATTTTCCCATGAAATAGTTATTGCTGTTGGAAATACCGTACATAGATATATATATACAGTGAGACTGAAATGTTGCCGAAATTTCAGTATGATGTCCATCATGGTTATTCAGTAATCTGAACAAAAAAATCTTGAATCTTCCACTGAAATTTTTAGTCATACTAGTTTTCCATTGTATTCACTAGTAAACGGTATATCTTATAGAGTTCTAGAAGCAAGGAGAATATGGATTTTCATATCCTAATTCCATAATGAAATTTGGATAAATCACATCACTACTTATTGAGTACGAAATAAAATACATCAGTATTGTCCTAACGACTACGCTGTTATTCATATCAGCTAGAAAATAATACTACAGGTACTCGATTGATTGAATTCAATCAGATCACTTTCTTTCAACTCAAGAATGAATGTCTCATCAACTTTTCTTCTCAAAATAATATCTTATATAAGTAGCCGTCACGTTGCTTCTGTAAATGGAGCCACCCTATATAGAATGAGATCATAATTGAGATCTTATCGAATGATTTAATGCTCCAGATTTTTTATACACCGTTAGTTTCATATTTGTCTCACTCATATTTAATGGAATGACTTCGACTATCTTCATGTCATAAAAACTCAACGTGAGTATATTTCAATACTTGTTTCCTTTCTGTATTATGTCAATTATTCTCAACATTGCCCATTGAATGCCACAAAAATATACCCAGAGTACCACAATTATTGACAAAGGTTGTTTATTAAGGAACCAACTTTTTTTTCAGCACATGATACGTTTAGTCTTTGCCTTTCAATTCGTGGTATACTTGCTTCTGAATTACTTTATACGTGGTGTCCCAAGATAACATTGATTGTATGGGAATATGATAATCCCAGAAATTCATTCATCTTTCAATATGTGAGAGAAAATCTGATGAGAATTAACTGGGAGCTTCGTTGATTTTCTGTTCTTTTTCATCCCAAGCGAAATTCCGTCCTCTCGTCTTGACATCTTTCACAGAACTGGTGTCCAAAGATTTGGCAATGTTTGGGTAGACATTCAACTGGTCGCTTTCTTGTTCTGGCATCCCTCTGTATAGGGAATCTCCATAAGCTCCCTCCGGATACCTACAAAACAGAATTACGATGGGCAATGTTATTCGACTATAGGGTTTTTGTGGGTTTTTGAAAACTTCAAGCAGATATTTCATGAGCTCAATCTGAGATAAGTTTTCATGTAAGTATCTCTGGAATGGCTTTGGATCGAAGATTCAGGGTGATAAAGATTATTTAAGAGGGTCTGCGTGATGCCCCTACGGGACAGGTCGTTTAGTTTTCCACCCGAACTGAAATGCTTCAAATTCCACTTCTAATATTTTCTAATGAAGAGAAAACATCACTGTCTGAAACCCTGACGATATTTCACTTCATGGAGCTTGATTTTGTGAAGCACTTTGTATGTTAGAAACGAAGCCATTTTGTAATTGTTTTCATATTCCGACCCAAAGAATATTTTCATAAATATTCCACGTATTGAGGTAACACCAAAATATGACGAACGGCAACATTGTGAATGCAAAAATAGAAGATTCTTTGGTGGTTTCTGTCTGATGGCATCATCACATTCATGACTAGAAAGACCGGAATGTCAAGTAGATATTAAAGTGATGCATTTGTATTCTCAAATTTGGTCTGAAATATTCAAGAACACAAGTTTGTTATACTTGTGGAGACACCTTCGAGTTTTCTTTCTTGATCATTTCACTCCACTTTGAGTATGGATTACTACAGAAGAATCGAACATTCTTTCAAATATGTAATATGTAAGTAGGTCTCTTTACCTGGAATAACCGTGTAAGCTTCCTCCATGCAATCCTCCACCTCCATGAATGAATCCTTGGTGGTAGTGATTGGGCTCGAAATATTGAGGTCCGTATACTTGATTTTGCCCATTGCCAAGCAGCAAGGAACCAAGAGCGAAGGCACTAGTCACTACGAGAGCAAGCTTGCTTATAATCAGTGCTTTTTTGGCTAGTAGAGCCAACAGACCGAACAGTATCGGTACTAGACTCGCCATTTTGAATTTGAAACCGAGCAGGAATGGCAACAGGAACGATCTAGCCAGTAAACGACCTAAAAAATAAAAAGTCAGAATTCTGAGGTGATACACCTCACAGTGGAGTGGAGGCAATAAGGACAGGACGAAATTCTTTCAGTCTACTCCACCATTTGTATTTGTGAAAATTTTTTGAATCCTGTTGTAATATGTGAACATAATTTATTCCTCCAGAACAGGTGAGTCATCTTGAAATGTCGTTGTTGAAGTGGTTGTCTGACATTTCTCTTCACTTTTCTCTTACTTTATAGTGCTCCTATTCAACTAAAAGCTGATGTTGAGGCTTTGAAGCTTCGAAACATGTCCCCTAACTTAATCACAATGAAGTATTGTTTTGGTGGAGTAGACTGTAAGAATTTCGTCCTGTCCACGGTATAATCAACAAGAAATATATAACCTATATATTTTGGAAATCAGGAAAAAAAGATCTTCAATTTGGTAATAACGATAAGTTGGTATCCATTTCTTATATATATTTTAACTGTTTTACCTCGTACAATTACCTAGAGGTTCAGAACAAACCCTACCACTTCTGTTTTCGAAGGTTTTTTCTACATTCAATGATGAACCCTGTGAAAGCTGTTTCAATATACGGAATGGCCCTGTACCGATGAAAAACTGAATCACAATTTACAGTTTTTCGGAATAACTGAAAGATGGATTTTTGAAGCACTTGCACCAATTTTCAACATACATGGTTTTGGGATGTTCACTCCTTGTCTTCATTTATGATTCAAACACCCTGTATTTCCAATCCAGTTTGCACGTGTGCCCTAATAGGGAATTTCGACTTCCCAGTGTACACATCCCCATGAGAAACTAACGAATTTTTTTTGGATTTCAGAATAAAACCATATTTATTGCAGAGAGACTGCTATGCTTGCATAGGCGCGAAACCCAGTTTTCGTGAAAATGGCGAAGGAGCCAGAATAGAATGGAATAGAATGGAAAAGCGAATAAAAACTGAGTAGAAACAAAAAGCGGAGATACCAGTGAAGTATAAATGGATTGTATCAAATCCTGCAAACAGGAATGGTTAGTAAGAAAAGTAAGGTTATTCGCTCAAAGTCATCTAGATTTGCCGAAAATCTGAAGTATTCTGTTTTCATGTTATGATTTTCAGGTTACAATACATTTGAATATTTCGTATAAAAAATAGTTTGATAAAAATCGTTCTCTATGATTTTTGCGGAGATCTAAGAGAAATACCATAAAATAAAATTTTCAATCTAGCACAAAAACATTTCAGCTTTTGGGTGTATGATAAATTGACATTCATCATACAGGGCGTGTGTTCAATAGATATAATTCAATGTTCGTCGTGGCATATAGCCAGGAAAGTAGTTGTTTTCTATTGAATAAACTGAAAAAGAGTAGATATTCTCATCACATAGAGAATGCGAATTCTCAATGTATTGCTTCATATTGATATATATCCATTTTTGTATGTCCATAATTTATCTGAGAATATTCCTTTTCAGCAAAAACATTTCAACCAATAATTGTTTGAAATTCGATTCAATTTCAATTTATTGTATTCGACGAGAAACAGACAAAACAAAAATAGCTTGCAACGAGTTGAGATATTTTGCAATGAATCCTGCAAGCAGAAATGCTTCGAAAATAAGGTTATTTGCTCAAATTCTATTAGATTTGCAGGAAATCTGGAGTATTCTGCATTTACATAATCAACTGTTACGAACTTAGAATCGAAGTTTTCATGCTATGATTTTCAGGTTACAATACACTTCAATATTTCGAATAAAAAATGGATTGAAAAAACATGTCTCTATGATTCTTGCGGAGATCTGAGGAAAATATCAGAAAATAAAATTTCCAATCCAGACCAAAAACATCTTAACTAGTGAATCTTTGAAGTTCGATCCAATTCGAATTATATTCGAGGGAACTAAACAACACAGAAAATGACTTGCAACGAGTTGGGATATTTTGTCAAACTAATTGTTCATGATAAGAAAGGCTATCGCGATATGCCCTCGTTGTTTCGATGAACAATATCAACACTTATTACCCAAATTGATTATGCCATCTGCGTTGAACCCATTGTCTCAATGCTCATGGTGAAAGGGTACCTATATATTGTTGGAAAGTGTCGACGTTAACATTTTTCGAGTCAATGGAATAATAACAAGTAGGTACTTCAATCTTTCCCAACTTCATCACTGTGCATATCTCGAAAGAAGCACACTAGGACAATCATATTAGTAATATTCTTTTTACCAACTCTGACTGAGATCAACCAAGATTTTCAGTGCAGCTCAATAGCTCAGTTGTGTCTTAAGAACTTATTGAGACTATTTCTTCCCCCTCACCCCAACTCAGCTTGCTATTCATCTGGTGTTGTAGTGAGAAAAAGGTGAGACTGTATTATTTTTAGTAATTCTGTGGTTCTTTGCTGAATATTGTGAGGTTATATCTTCATTTTGACATGCTTTTAGCTTCGAAGTTTCAGTCCACTGGTTAAATCCTTTGAATACTCACTAAAATAGTTTTTCTATGCTCCTCATTGATTTCCTCAGTCATTTTCCATTTTGGTTGAATCATGTTGTGTTATGTTTTCTTTCCTTGCCCTTCCTGACAGATAAAAACGTGTTCTCTTTATTCAATCGACAACTCAGATCCGTCTCACTTCATTCTAACTCAATTGATCTCAGTTGTGAGAATGTAACGGGGTAAAAAAATATTGCTATTCATGGATTGCCTCGAATAAAATAGGAAAAATAATTCACTTCGTATTTTCGCCGATCGAAACCGCCTGCAGCACCATCTAGAAAGCAACAAGCTACTTACTTACCGGTTCCTGCTTCTTTCAATGAATGGACGTTCACAGCTTCTCTGCGTTGATCTAGAACAAATTCTAGGGTTCCACCAGGTATCACAGAGGGCGACACACGCATGGCAAGTCCGGGATACAGGAATCCCATGTCCCATTGCATGTTCCTTCTGGAGAAGACGTGACTGAAGGAATCTACTATAGTCCTGAAAAACATAGAGTCTGTTTATGCTATTACTAGTTTTCAGTTAGGTACGTAGATGGTAGCTGGTATATTGAGTTCTTTCATATATTCCTGGGAACAATACATCCTGCATAAAATCGAATTCCATGTTCTCTTCAGAAAGAGGATTATCAGACTATTGTAACAGGACCTTTTTTGTAATTTGAGTAACTGTCTTAACTATAACTAACGTACAAAACACCAATGGTTGTTTCCAACTACGATTTTCAAAACTTGTAATTATGATCCACATATTCAGAGAGGAAATATGCACTGACTGTTATGTCATCAAGAACAAAGTAATTGTGTATTTATCGTATATATGGCATACTTTCGACATTTTTAGTAAATGATATACATATAGGTATAGATATAGCGATCATACTTTGCAACTATTTGATAGTTTTATTTATTTATTTTTCTTCGTGTTTCATCCTTTTATCTTCATCTAATTTATGAAATCATATTCACATATTTGTATTGGAAATTTTGTTAATTACTTGTCAATACACAGTAAAAAAAATAGAGTGAAATTTAACACTATACCTGTTTTCAGGAGGACCAATAAGCTCTAGAGTGAATGATTTAACTCTATAGTTTAGTATAATAGTGTGAATTTTTCAATTCAATCAGTGTAAATTTTCAATCCAAGCACATTGAAACTTACCCTATTTATTTCTCTAAATATATTGAATGAACGCAAAAAATAGAGTTGAAAGAAACAATTCTACTCAAGACCCAAGCTAGTGTCAATATCATCACTTTAGAGTGAAATTCAATAACAGAATATTACATAGTCACAAATGTTGAGAGTTGGGAATATAATAGTACAGAGTAGATTTCACACTATGAACAGTGTCGGATCCACCGGAAATTGAATGTATTAATTACACTACGTGTATGTCAAATGGCTCCTGCATTCTTCAAATTGACACTACCATATGTTTAGGTGGTTTAGGTGCTAATAAAGAGTTATCATTCATTCATCATTTTAGATTGATATAAAATACTAGTTGAGTAAACTAGTTACTACTTAATGTTGAGATTTCATCCAAGTTAGATCAAAAATTCTTCCACATGTCACAGTATTTATAGGACTCCGACAGACCTTCAGCTGCGAAAACTAAGCATAGTCTCTGCAGCGCCACCTGCATGCAGTGGCGCGAATTGACGGATGAGAAGTAGTGTGACTTCATGAACTTTTAATCGTTTGATATTTGAAAAATGACTCACGTCCCACTAGACTACTTAGTTAACCAATCTGTTTCAGGAATCGTTCTAAATAATAATTCGAAACGGAAAAAACGGAAAATAACTGAGATAGGTATACCGAAAAACGTTAATAACCCAATGTTGAAAAAAATCTCTCACTACGTGGGTGTAGTAAAAAAGCTACTTCGAGCTAATATCATGATCATTATATCATCGACACTATAATCAGTATTACTTATTCCACTATCCAGTAGACTGAACGATCTGAAACTGTATAGTTTGATATTTCATCGTATATAGATTGAATTGAACAATTTAATAGACACGAGTGGAACATTCAAGTTCACTAGTGTCAATTTACACTAGAATGAATTCAATTTCAATTGTTAGTAAATTGAATTAACTGAATTGCTATTTTATTGAAATTTTAGGAATATAGAGTGAATCCAATATGACATTAGTGAAAATTCAATCTAGAATTATCTTCAATAGAGATAATCTTCGAGAAGTGTAGTTATAGAGTTGATTGCAGTATCAGAGTGAGTTTGCCAGAGTATTTTAACTCTAAAAACATACTCTGCGAATTTAACTCGAAGCGATTTTATACTGTGTACCATGAACTCAACCTGAAGGGCGTATTATCATTATTATATATACTTTTTTTTTTGGTCTCTATGTAATCGGTTTCGAAACAAGTGTTCGGTCACTCCTTGAGTATCGTTCATTCACCTACTAATTTTTTGTTCACTGTCTTTCAGAATAACTACTCTATGTAGTTTTATGTACCTAGTTCATATAAGTGGATAAATATTATTATTATTATTACTATTTTATCGAAGAGATGAAATATGAAAGAATGTGTATTGTCAAATGCAAAATGGCACCAGAGATTCTTTTCTCATGACACACAGTTATTCTATTATTCCTTGGAGCGCACGAACAGGAATCCTTATAATGTTCGAAGAATATCGTGCGTAACCAGAAAGGAATGGGAGAGGAGGTAGGTATTCGATTCTTTATTTCAACTATCAGAGCTTCTTGGAAATACCTACTTCCATTGGCAAAAGATTGACGACGAAGGGAAGTGCTGACTGGGCGTGTCGAGTTCGTCTGACTGGTATTGCTAGTGATGGAATGATAGCAACAATTTCTGAGGAACATTCCCTGTGGAAATATCTAGTTAGTGAAAGGTCGCCGATTTTTCTATGGTGTTCTTATGAGGTCGAAGAATTGGTGGTTCTTTCCTGAATCTGAGAGCATCAGCGTATGTTTGGGTGCTGAACCCCATACATGAGATCAGTATTCTGAGACTGGCCGTATCTGTGCTTCATCATGTAGATCATGAGAAGCGAACAAACCATGATTTTCTCGTGAAAGAGTATTGCTGATGGATAAACCGAGCATATTTAATATGGTGGACTCTGGAAGAATCGTGGTTCCAGATATTGTTGAATCGGGCAAACTGAGTTTCGCAATTTTAGCCTTGGGTTTTGGTGGCATTGAATTCAACTAGGTGGTTGGTACCCCAGGCTGTGATGTCCACAGAATCTTCATTGACAGCGTTGGCCTGCCTTTGTCGTAAGTTCTTAGTTTCCTGTGAAGAAATGGGATTCCTAGAAGAGGAAGTATTTCCACGTGTTCATTTGGATCGAATGTTTCAGTAAACTGATTTCAAATCAATGCTCTCAGCTCTAGAATGTGTTTTCAACGAAAGAATCTGGATATTATTTCGCATAATGTCGCGAAATATCTAAATGTACCCGTGACAATTCTCTGCATGAGTGGCTTTCGAATAAACTGTCCATGAGTCCATGAACTGCATACGGAATAGTACGGATATGATTTTTGTGATGTACATTGTATAAAACAAGATTAATGTCCAACGCTCGTGTTTAGAGAGCCATTTGCGATATTCGTGTTTCATTTCCAGAGTTCCATTAACAAATATGTCTGTATCAAAACGTGAATATTGTGAGGATTTCAAGGTTGGTGATGAGCTTCAGAGAATGAAGGGGATCATAATGTGTCTGATACAACAAAGCCGTGGTTTTTTTTCGGAAAATGCGTTGTGTATTTATAAGGTGTGTATTTAGATCTATGGTATTACGTATTATATGTATACAGGGTGATTCACGTTGAATGGCCTATTAGAAGTATCAGGAGATCGGAAAGACAGAACATTCTGAAAATTAGGAAGCTTTGATAATTAAACATTGCCTATCCGTCTGAAATATTTTCATCGATATAGTGTTTCCACTTCAATCAGAAACATTTAGCAACTCTGTTATTCCAAATGGAACACCCTATATTTTATTGCATTTTTAGATTCTTCCTGAAGAGCTGATTTCATCAATGTATCACCCTTGGGCATAGCAGGAATGGTTACAGAGATATAGGGTGTTTAAAATCGAGATTCTTTAATTTCAGGATTTTTTTTGTGTCGAAACTATTCATTATCGATCAAAACGGCTCACATATCCCAATCTCAACTTTTGATTGACTATCTACTGGAATTTAATTGGAAAAAATACAGGGTGCTTCAAGATTCAGAATTCTGATCACCCTGTATCTGTATCCATTTATTTGGACATTCCCCATTTTTCCCTTGAATCTGTGGACTTATTTTTTCATTCATTCGAATATGATTTATATTTCTAATTTCTCAACTGTATTGCTCATTATACTCCATCAAATGAATCCAGGTAGTTTGATTTCAGTTTCCTCCAGCTTCCAAAAAGGAGGGTGGATTTAAACTTTGAAATGCGTTCTTCTTGAAACTTACTTTTTGTGAAATTCCCCTTTTTCTCCTGTGGTCTTTATTTACGACCATACTGTTAATCCAGTGTGTGTGCATTTAGAACTGAACTCACGTGTCCTTATTATTGAAGAAGTCTCTGAGAGATTTCTGGAAATCCCTAAGGATTGCCTGGATTCATTAGTTCCGAATGGGATGAAGTAAACAGATTCAGTAGTACAAACAGACTTGCAATCGGTCTTAGGGAACATCAGCAACCTGAGAAAGGTCACATTTGGGAAAAAATGAGGTAGACGTTACAAAAATGAATGGGCCGCTAACTTGACAAATATTTCGATTCACTCCAATTCATTTTATGACTATAATATGGGCATCATAGGAATATCATTTCTCATTATGTAGGTATTATGTGTCAGTTAGGTACTCAGTCTGAGTACCTAACTGATTGTTTTCCTATTTTGAATTTGTTCTTTCATATCGTTACGTATAATGCATGTCAAATGTCCCAGCTTCATAAAAAACAAATCTAAATAAGCAGACTATTGAGCATGATTTCGTAATTGCAACAGGCCTAGAATCACCATCAATTTGAATTATTATGAATGCCAAAGATAACAGCAATGTAATTAACAGAGTTCAATGCAATAATTATTGTACTGTCTTTGGGGTTAATCTTCTTCGTTGTGTTTTTGGCTTCATACTTCCAAGAAATGTCTCAACTCCTTTATTGTTCTGTATGGGGATACTTCAGAGTAGACAATATTTCACTCCTATCTGGTAGTTTGATATTACCAACGTTGTGAAAATAATAATTGCAAATTATATCATGATAACTCTATTGAATACGCAGCATATAATATAAATATTCGCAATTTTCTCTGTTCTGTCGTAATTCAAACCTCGATTTTTTTCACATGAGTAATATTTCTGTTCGCGATCATGGAATACAGAGCGATTTTGAATTTCATTACTTTTTTGACACGGAGTTTTTAAAAATGATATTGTGCTTACAATCACGTCTAAGAGAGATGTGCGGGATCCAGTACCGTGTCAAATCTTGTTTGTGTTATGGTTTCGAATATATAAATACACATACATCACCCTCTGTTTGATTATTTCCGCTATGAAATGATGGATGATATTTCTGCTACTGGGCCATGGATTTTACAAGTTTCACTTGAATAATTATTATGTGTGATCTTATACACCCTCAATATTTTTCTGAAAAATGATACATACTTCAATCATCTACTCCCCAGAGTGAACTCCTCGATAATCTGAATAGGATATGGTAGTCATGTTACACATCATTGCAAATGTAATTTAATCCTGACACTAGCTCTTTTGTTTTTCTTATTGACTCTTCCACAAAATGTTCAATCACACTACATGTTTCGCTTGCACAGTAGCTTCATCAGGTGAAATACTTTGTTGAATCAAATTTAGATACAAAACATAACTGTCCTCAAATTTTAAAATCATTAGTCAATTTGGGTTGATAGGTATGTTCGTTTTACAGAAAAACTTGTTTATAATTTCAGATATTTTCGAGTCCTCATTCCATTTTTCACTATTTATTCATAAGCTGAGGTGAAGTAGGCCGTACAAAAAATTCTGATATTCTGACAGTTCATAATCTCTGGTAGTATGGAATTGTCACATTCTGAAATGTACATGATTTTTGACCTACAGAGTGTCGTTTTCTGTTTCTCCTCAAGATGGACCTAGATTCTGAACTCGATTGTTATTTAGTTTTGATGGGTAATATCATTGTAGAATAGTTCTATTCTGAGTATGGATAGATTATGCGAAGTGATTTGGTAATTATGACCAGATGAAGATTCCGCCAGAATCAAGAGAACGTCCTGTATCTCAGCTATAAAAAACAGTTCATTGTACCAGTATATCACCTGACGAAGCTACAGTGTTAGCGAAACATGTTGTGTGTTCAAGAATTCTGTGGAAATCTTGTTTGATTATGGTACGATTGATTCCATCTTTGTCACACGAGTTATTTTTCAACGATGAAACAATTCCTGCAAAGAGATGTTCTTAAACGATAGAAATTTATTTTCAAATTCAGGAATCTTTCTTATGGTATTATCGAAATCGTTTACTGGGTTGATGTTTTCAACAATATTATTCATGCTATAGAAAAATTGTTGAAGCGTATGAAAAAATTAACCTGAAACTAGAAGGATCTGCATCGGCGAAATTGTGAGCTTCCCTGTACTCCTGGCCATCTCTCGTCAGAGTAACACCGTCCACCAAATCGAACTCTGGATCGGCATCCAGACTTTGCAGCTTCGATATCGCCCCAACCCCTAAACATTGCCCTAAACCACCCCCTACTTGTGACACCAGACACTGCCTCAACGTTTCCCCTATTGATTCTAGGGGATGCACTACCGAACAAGAGACTGTAGCTACCGTTAAAGTGAGTTGTAACGTCATCACACTGTGTAGCAGCAGCATTTTGGCCAGTTTGGAGTTGGCAAACTTCCCAGGATCGTTTTATATACTTGATGATATGTTTGAGTGATTCGGATGTTTCAGTGAAAGTGCTCTTGTTAATGATGTGTTTTTCGAATTATTACGTCTTTTGTCTAGATGGGAAAGCTTGATTCACTGGGAAAATATCACGCTATCATTCAATTCCCTACACAGTAAAAAATATAATGGAATTCAACACTATACCTGTTCCCAGAAGGACCAAGAAGCTTTATCAATCTCTCAAATCCTTCAGTAACAGATGAGATTAGATTTAGAATGGGGCCTTCGGGCTATCTGCCTCCACACCGCGACCTTTTCAGATCTATTGTGTCTGCCCTCAAAATCGATTAGAGTTCTTCGGCTAGCCCCGTCTTCTCTATGAGACTCCATAGGCTAGCTTTCAGATCCCCTGTGTATCTCTGGGCTTCTGGTTTTTCCTTACCCAGCGTAAGGAACCTTAGTCTTGACAAGCCCTCACAGTGGCAAAGTATGTGTACTGCTGTTTCCTCCTCTTCCTGACAGAACCTGCACAGCAGTTCTTCAGTCAGACCTATCGTACTCATGTGTTTGTTGAGCCTACAATGCCCTGTGAGAAGTCCCACTAGTATTCTAGTTGAACTTCGTTTCTGGCTTAGTAGATATTCTGTGAATGTTGGCGATGGTTTTTTAATAAACTCTTTTGCCTGTCTCATTCCTGGCGATTTGTTCCACCATTCTTGAGATTTGGTTTGCATCCATGATTCGATACTAGTCTTTTGTATAGCTTTCGCAATACCACAGAAGGGTTCTGGGCCATTTAGAGCTTTGTTTGCTCCTGCTCGGGCAAGTGAGTCTGCCTCTTCATTGCCCTCGTACCCTGTATGTGCTGGTACCCATGCTAGAGTCAGTCTGTTCTGACTGCCCAGTGCATTTAGGGTTTCTAAGCAGTCCCATACTAGTTTTGAGTTAACTTGCATAGAGTTGACTGCTTTGATTGCCGCCTGGCTATCTGAATAGATTTCAATGGTTTTGCCTTTAAACTCTTGCCTTATCAATTCTTTCAGTAACAGATAGTAAATCATTTTGGAATCTTGAAGCTCTATGTTCTGTGTATAATGCGTACGTTAGATCTCAATTGGAATATGGATCTATTATATAATTGTTTTCAGGACAGTCGCTAGAGGGCATAATTGCATAGGCCAACTCAAAAAACGGGTTTTTATGAAAATTTGATATATCAAGATATATCAGAAACACTTTTTCCATGTTCTCGAGTAGATTTCCAATCATTTCGATAAAAAAAATTGCGCTAGCTCTTTAAATAAGAGAGGGAGGGAAGGATGAATAGTACTCTGGAAAAACTCTTATTACTACTGTTTGGTGTAACGGAATCAAGCGATCTTGGTCTCATTTCCAAAGACTACTCGAGTCCATGAGGAGGAGGGCTGAAACGTGCATACTTGCAGGAGACGGACATTTTGAACACTTAATTTGGTATTTTTGTTCTTAATAGTTATGTTTTTGAAAATAAAAATGTAATTTTACAGATTTTGATCATTTTCATGTCTCCTCCATAACTTCTTTATTTATGAAAATATTCAAATAGGAATTTCACATTCTCATGGCAGTTTTTCGAAGTGATTTCGAAAAAAATATGAAATTTATACCAACTTTTCTTGAATTTGAGATATCAGCACCTACTTTAGTTTTTCAAATGTAGGTCATAGCTCACTATGACTTAGTTACAAATAACTTTATTTCCTCTTTCAGATGATATGTTGTAGTAATAGTTTCGTGTTGATAACAACGGAGTTATCGTCATTTATACAAAAACAAAAATTATTTGGAAGCTGCCATCTTGAATTTATAAATTTCAACAGGAGAATCATGATCTCCGACCTCAAAAACCTTCACTTACCAATTTTGAACGGAATCGGACCCAATCTTGTTCGCCATCTTGGAGCAGCCATTTTTTTAATTTCAACAAAAATTCCATCACTCCGATTAACTTGAAATTTGGCAGGTGTTCATAATTTCGGTGACAATACATTATGGAATTTTTGTTGGAATTAAAAAAAAATGGCTGCTCCAAGATGGCGGACAAGATTTGGTCCGATTCCATTCAAAATTGGTAAGTGGGGGTTTTTGAGGTCGGAGATCATGATTTTCCTGTTCGAATTTATGAATTCAAGATGGCGGCTTCCAAATAATTTTTTGTTTTTGTATAAATGACGATAACTCCGTTGTTATCAACACGAAACTATTACTACAACATATCATCTGAAAGAGGAAAAAAAGTTATTTGTAACTAAGTCATAGTGAGCTATGACCTACATTTGAAAAACTAAAGTTGGTGCTGATATCTCAAATTCTAGAGGAGTTGGTATAAATTTCATATTTTTTTCAAAATCACTTCGAAAAACTGCCATGAGAATATGAAATTTCTATTTGAATATTTTCATGAATAAAGAAGTTACGGAGGAGACATGAAAATGATAAAAATCTGTTTTTTGCGTATAAAACAAAAACGAATAGATTTTATCGAAATATTTTCTCACATTATAGTTGGCCTCGATAAACTCCACATTTGGTGTCATTTAACCGACCTCGTATCTCTCACCGTTAAAAAGATACCCATGGTGGGCATGGTAAGTGGGACACACTGTATATAGGAGTAAAAATCGAATAGGGACAAGCAAATGAATGCATTTTATTTTCTACCTCAAAAACCGTTCGCCGGACGAAAATGAGACAAGAAACCATTTTCATGAGGAGATAGAGGATAATCACAAAAATAATATGAATTCGGAAAAAAGACAGTGGCGTATCATTATTTTGATGAAAAATATTATGACAGGGTATGTTAACAGGGACGCCACTGATGGAAATTGAGAAATCTTTTATCATGGATAGAATGTTTTTCTATGCATACTTGGCATGAACCTAAATTAAAGGAAAAAGCCAGAGTGGTTTCAGAGATATTGGGGAATAAATGATTTTTTTGTTAAATTTCAACATCCTGTATCTCAGAAACTAAGCTGTTATGGACCTGTGTTCACATGAAGAATTTTTCTTAAAATCATCCAAGGATTTTGGATCAGCATTCAATTATGGAACACCCTGTATATTCTGTAATTTGTAATAGGTTAGGAGCAATAATGTATTCCACATTTCAAACCTGGTTGAGTGGAAGAGTAGCTCTGCCAAACTCCGTCAGGCTAAATGAAGGCAATTTATTATTATTATTTTCATTATCATTACTTTGGAGACCTGCAGAACATCTCTCTCCAAAGACTCGTTCATCCAACGAACAGCGAGGCTCTGGAACACATTGCCAAGGGAGGTGTTCCCGAGGCATATAACCTCCAGAAATTCAAGAAGAACATTACAGGATATCCCTTTTCGTGGGAACCAGAAAAAATAACACACCCATACATCAAACTGAGTGCAATATCCTTCTATTTTTGCGCATTGAATGTTCCTGTGAATGTAGCCGTAGTCGCATCGAAGGAAGTGAACTTGAAGACAATAGACGATTGTTATTTGCTTTCTACTTCTTTTCATAAGATATGTCTGAAGCGGATGTCCTTTTGTACGCTTTCCTCAAAATTGATTGCATTTTTATTATGGCGGGTCGACCCTAGACAATGCATATCAAAAATCGCTTGCAGAGCTGATTCATCATGTTTCGATCGAGTGAAAACTTTGGAAGATGACACAAACAAATCATACATGGTGTCCCAGACTAACGTTCGTATAGTCCGGGAGGTGATTCTTCAGATTAAAATAAGAACAAATCGTCGGCTTACTGTCAAAACCTCGTAAGTCTTTCAGAGCTAATTATTCAGGAGGAGAAGAAACGTTTTTCACTAGGTACTTCGAACGATTCAATTACATTTTTTCAAGGCTATTCCTCCTTTGTGAAGGTACCTGCTTGATGAATGAAATCAACATTCTGAGAAGATTTGTATTCTTAATGTTCAAACGACATACGAAGTATCAACAAGAATGAATTATTCAGACTGAATTGCTCCACAGTGCATGTAGCAAATCAGCGGCAGTTTCGATAACAATGAGAAATATGGGTTCAACAATAATGAATCGAAATATTTCAATCAATGTCTTCATTTGGAATGAACAGAATGAAATTATACAAATATCCATAACATCTTCCCGAAAGCTCTGAAGATTTCTACTAGATAGATAACATACAAATCAGAACCTCGTAAGTCTGTTCACATGGAGAATCAAAACAAGTATGTCCTCCGCATCACTGCAGAAATATTCGAGAAGATTGACCAAATAGTTCATCATGAACTTACTCCGGTGTCTGACATGAATTTCAGTTCAAATAATGGAGCAAACATTCAAACAATAGAGATTCATACTTTCTCAACAAGCACAACTTAACTTTATCCTCTCTTGCAGACTTGCGAGTTTTTGAGTTCAAAATCTCTCAGAATGGAGTTAGGAGGTTTTAATTATATCTAATAGATGTCGCTACCAAGAACATAGACTTACTATGATTTGGTGATGGGTGCGCTGAGTTTTGTAGATGGTGAAAATATTCAAACCAAAAATTCCCTAGAAATCGGACTCAGGAGGTTTTGATAGTAAGCCGACGATGCTAGAGCCCTTTCAAACTATCGATAATATCGATAGTAATGTTATGTTCTGAACTATCGATACTATCGATAAAACTTTCGATAGTCAGACATCACTACTGAACATGCAGCTGATGATAGCGTAGCGTTGTCAATGTTGTCCTTCATGCTCATTGACTTTCAGGAGGAGAACTACGGTAGCTGTTACAGAGTTGCTACTTCGGATAAATTTTCACAATATGTGCCATTCTGAGAATATGTTTAATATTTAGGAAAAGAGTACCATTGTACCAAGTACCCCCATTAGGAAATATGTTATTTAATTTCTGATCCTATTAATAGTTTCTAAAGTTTTCAGAGTTATTCTGTGCCCTCTGAGATTTAGCGCTACAAGCCCTG